GTGCGGTGCCCCAACCCCCCAATCGGCCCTACCCTGAGCATGACTGAGGGTGTCATCGCAACCTCCCAATACGCCCTGCTCTGTGCATGACAGGGGGCGGTGCCCCACCTCCCCAATCGGCCCTGCTCTGAGCCCGACCAGGGGCTGCACCTAGGGATTGGGCCTGCCCTCTGCCACCAGGGAGCAGGCCTAAGCCAGCAGGTCGTTATCTCCTGAGGGGTCCCAGACTGCAAGACGGCACAGGCCGGTCTGAGGGACCCTCCCTTCCCCCCGAGTACACAAATTCTTGTGCACCGGGCCTCTAGTTATATATAAAGAAAGAGAAAAAATGAGGTATGAAACTTTTGAGCAAGCTACTTTATATCAGCAAACTTTATGCTGTATAAGAGGAGTTTCTAAGTAACTTCTGGCTCTAAAATTCTACAAACACTAAATAAATAAATACATTTTCAAAGAATACTTCAAAACCAAAGGTTTAACAACCTGGCTTGAGTCAGGATCCACTGTGAAATTTGCTAAGCAGGTATTAGACACCATGTTAAACTCAGAGTCTCATGATAGGTGTTCAATAAATATTTGTGGATTGAATGAATAAATTATTATGATGAAAAAAAAATTGGCTAAACATCTCCAGGGATTCTGAATCTGTAAGGCTCCTCGAAACTATTGCTGAGTTGGAGGGAGAGATAGAAACATCAATGATGAGAGAGTATTATTGATCAGCTGCCTCCTGTAGGCCCCCTACTGGGGGTCAAGCCCGAAACCTGGGCATGTGCCCCTGATTGGGATCGAACCCTGGACCCTTCAGTCCACAGGCCAACGCTCTATCCACTGAGCCAAACCGGCCAGGGCTGTTGTTTTATTTTGATACTTTTATCAGAACAAATGTAGTCACTAAAGGCTCTGGAAGGAAAAGAGACCTTGGCAAAGTCCAAAGTTCCCCCTCCCCCATGCCCTGTGTCTCCTCCCCTCCTGCCCCAGGTCCTAGGCAACAAAAATGTTTCCCTTTCTTCCTCCTTAGTCCCCCCAGATTGGACCAGCTGTGAGCAAAGTAGAATTAAATCTCAAACATTCTGAAGAGCTCCAAAGACATTTCCTCCCTCCTGGAGGAGGAGGAAGAGCATCCTTTGAGGAAGATGCTAAATTGCCTTAATTATGTGTCTTTGGAAGGCATAAGTGCCCATCTGCTTTCCTGGCGGGGGTGTGGATGCATGCTAAGCACAAATATAAATCAGGCCAAATACAAACACAATTAGCAGGTCCATGCAGCCCTGTCATCTAGAGAAAGAGCGAGAGTGGTGCGCCAGGGCGCCTCTTGGACCTGGGTTCCAGTTGGAGCAGCAACTGGCATGAACTCTGGACAATGGGCAGTGAGGCCTGGGGGGTGAGGCCACAGTGAGGTACTAGGGAGAGGCTGCGGGAGTGGGGGTCTCCAACTGGGGCAATGCTGACCCCATGCAAGAGCAAGACCATAAAGTCACGGAGTCATTGGACCTTGATAAACGTGAGAAGCAGAAGGGGTTCTGGGATGGCATTGTGGAACAAGCACCCAGGCTCGTCTGGATTCAAACCCTGGCCCTGCCACTTATTAGCCATGTGACTTTGGACGAGGTCTGTGGCCCTGACTGGGGCTTTCTCTAATGTAAGAGGGGAATAGTAGTACCTCCTTAGATTGGAGTGGGGAGGAGTGAGGTGATGTGTATACAGCTTTTCACATGAGGCCAGGCAGGATTAAGTGCTCCGAGAGTTGGCTCTTATGTTACTTCTCACTGTCATTTGTCCTGAAATGCCTAGGGTGGACCCTTCATTCTCCTTCTCAAGTAGGAAGGATGCAGAGAAGAGATGAAACAAATTCTAGAAAGGACAGCAACTAATCCGTGTCCCTGAAGGAAATCTGCACAACCTGTGGGACTCAGTTTCTCCATTTATAGCATAAGGTCTAGAGCAGGGGTGGGCAAACTTTTTGACTTGAGGGCCACAATGGGTTCTTAAACTGGACCAGAGGGCCGGAACAAAAGCATGGATGGAGTGTTTGTGTGAACTAATATAAATTCAAAGTACACATCATTACATAAAAGGGTACGGTCTTTTTTTTTTTAGTTTTATTCATTTCAAACAGGCCAGATCCGGCCCGCGGGCCGTAGTTTGCCCACGGCTGGACTAGAGGGTGCTCTGGCTCTGACCATCTAGTGCTTTATGCATAGTGACAGCACCAGGCTGCCTCCAGAGCTTATCCTGAGAAGAAAAGCTGAGTCAGGGAGAAATCCCCAAACACCTGCTCATCACTAAGAACAGCGTGACTTGGACTGTTATGGGCTGAGGATGAAGGTAGTTCTCTGGCAAAGAGAGAAAGACTTGGGCATGTGCTGAGCTATGTCCAGCTTTTATATATATACTAGAGGCCCTGTGCACAAAATTCATGCACTTGGGGGGGGGTCCCTCAGCCCGGCCTGTGCCCTCTCGCAGCCCAGGACCCCTCAGGGGACGTCAGCCTGCTGACTTAGGCCCAATCCCTGGCAGTCAGACATCCCTCTTGCAGTCTGGGGCTCTCACAGTCCAGGACCCCTTGCTCCATACTGCCCACCTG